CAGTCAGGATTCAGGATCTACTCAAGAATCTGCTTCAGAGAAATTGGAGCAGCATGAGCCATTTCTGATCTCTCTATGCTCACAGACAGAAAATTGCACTATTAAGCAATCATAAATTGTTACATATTCAGCATAAATAGATCAACACATCGTGGAAACTTTGACATAGCACGTAAATAGCAAATTGCAATTCATTAATCGAATAACAGGCAAGCATTGTAGACTTGATCAAATGAGTTGAGAATATAACTATTTGACTTTTATTAGGACCAAATTATATTGAATGATTTGTAATTGGTTGGCATGAAAAATGCTGCTTCAAAAATTTTCTCTTTCAATTATGCCGTGACAATTGCCTATGAAGACTCCTTTGGCAATGACTCCAGTGGGGTTCCTTTAAACAAACACAATGCCTATAGGTGATTGGCGTATAAGAGCCCAATAAGCTCAAATAAGCAACTCGAACTCACGAGCGTTTAGATTCCAAGATTGGTGTGCTCAAACGAGACACAATCTTGTAAGACATGTTAAGAATAAATCTCATATCAGTTAAGTACAAGAATACTAACCAACATATAAAGGTTGCCCTTTATGATGAAACCTTGAGTCTTAATTAAGACATCCCTTTGAAGTTTGGTAGAATTAACTAGAATATATACACAAAATGAACAGTGGCTTGAGGGATTCTAGTGTATACAACTCACAAAGTACAATATAAGCACGCATAAGGGCATATTGAAGACTAAATTCCAATAAAATATAGTGTTATTTCTTTATCAATAATAACAGAGTGGCTTTGCAGGCATTACAGGGAAACACAATATAACATTACAATGAAGTACTACTACAAGATCCTAGTATTTGATAACTGAATACAAACGCAATCATTTATGTATTTATGTATGTATTCAAGTAAGGAAACCCTAGTTTTAGTTCAATTAGTGAAGAACATAGCCAATCAAATTTATTCAAAAATTGGAAAATTCAAGTTCAAATCAATCAGAAAGTAGCTTGTAAAAAATTTCTCTAAGTGATGTGAGGTCGACGGTGTACTCTCGACTGAAAATCGACTTTTTCACCAGGTTACCCGTTGACGCTAGATGTTTGACTAAAATAAATTAGAAAAAATGTTGTGTACGTCCAAGTTAACACCCTAGATGACACTTCACTCACATGGAGTAGGACCCGAGCCTAATAAAATAATCATGGCTCCACCCCATGTGTGTGGAGTATCATCCGAGGTGTAAACCCGAACGTACACATAGCAGAACTGAATAGACTATCTATTTATTCTACTGTAAATTTGACTTATGCTTTTTTTACCGTACTTAAAATAACTGTTTAACAACAATTATTTGAAAAAAAAAAAATTCTGCATATACATTTTCAACACATATTCGCACAATAAAATATGTGCACATAAGGTCAAAACTTATACTTATTTTTTAATCACACATGCTCTTAAAAATCATTATTCAAAACATTGTTTTGACCAAATAATGGGCCATCAATTATTGGATGTATAGGTTCCGAGTATATAATGAATGTGTGGATAAAAATAGAATTTGATCAGTTCAAAGTATAATCAAGGTGAGTCCACATAATTTAATATCTATCTCTTTCTCTTTGAACGATGTCTTATATTTGTTCGATATTAATATCACGTAGTTCGGAAACCTTTTTAGGTTTAAACCATTTGTACAGAAAATGAGTTCCACAGAATTGCTACATACACTCACATGGGGGTGGACCCTTTGTGATTAAAATATTGTCCATAAGCTCAGCCCTTTAACCCATGAGCTCGGCTCGGGCTCGTGGCGAGCCAAGCTCGTGGCTCGTGATAGACGAGCCTAGCTCGAGCTCTGCTAGTTGCTCGGGACCAAGCCGAGCTCACGAGCGTCTCGCGAGCTCGTGATTTTTTTAATTTTTTTTTGGTAAATTTGCACATTTTGAACATTTAAAAAAAATTAATATTTTCTCGTGGGCCGTGTGCCCACGAGCCGCTCATGGGCTCGACGAGCCGAGTAGACTCGACTCTGTACATATAGAATGCTTCACCTTTTTATTGAATGTCAATTATATTATTATCCTTAGAATGCATGGAGACACACTAAACTTTGTTGCGCTTACAATTAAAAGTTAACCGAACATTCTAGGTCTGTCCAGACGTTAGGTATAGACGATTATTTCAAAACTAGCAATGTTGTTTATAATCTCGTAATACTGAAAATAATTTTGACAGTATGATTATATAAAGGCTGTGGGTCAAAAAAATTTCTCGATTCAATATAGATTATGATTTTCTAACCTAGCAAAATAGTATGTGATGTTTTAGGTTAAATATTAATTTCATAGTATCGAGAGTAATATTAACAAATTTTTACAAACACGTGATTTGGTTGCTTCACTCTTAAAGCGATTTATGTCTATTAATAGCTGCAGAAATTCATTATGACAAAGAAGAAGATTACGATCATTTTTAACCCTCTCGACTTTAACTTGAAGGTCGATATGTAGTTAAATAAAAAAGTAAACAGTACAATTAGATTTTACACATCAAATGTTTAATATAATAAGATAAAATCAAAGATAAATTATATAAAAGGTTTTGTAAATGATTGGCATGAAATCTCTTTAACTTATTACAAATCTTCATTTAGGACCTTGGCTTTCTCCTATTAATCCAGTAAAGCCCGTTGTGTGGAAAATTTCACATTGATTAAGTATAATAAAATTAACCAACATATAAAGACTTAATGCAACTTAATTGTTGACCTTTCAAGATAGAACTCCAAATTCTAATAGGATATTGAAGTCCATTAAACTCAACGAGTGATTCAATTTGTCTAAAGTTCAAAGGAGTATTTGAATTCCTCGTGAGCCATCATTTCACTGGGGCATATCAAGGAAAAATTTCACATAGGTTAAGTATTTACTATTTACCAACATGTAAGATATTAGACTACAAAAATGTTTATCTTTATGATGGAACTCCAAGTCTTAATAAAGTCATTCTTTGGAACTTATTGTTTGGGCGCTACTTGTTTGCATACTTGTCCCTTTGACAACATCCAACAAAAAGTAAATGATGAAGAGACAATCTTGTCCCCTGACCTGTTGGGACACGTCCCGCAATTTACCTCCCTCACAAAGCTTTAGGGCCGGGGCGATGGGGCCCTCAAGGTTGGGGTTCAACCTTTTTATATTTTTTTAAATGATGAAGTGACAATTGCTTTGTATTTTGTGTCCGAAGCCTATGATGATATGACAATATCGAAAAGATAAATATTGTGTAATAAAATGCCGGTACTGAAAAGAGATCGTCAAACTACGACAAGAGTTTCACCTTTTGAAGGGTCAGACACGTAGGACTGCTGGACCAGACCAAATCAGAAAGGCTTTGATAACACAAGGTTCATATTAGAAAAAGGAGAGTGAGGGAGAGAAGAGGAGGGAAGAAGGGAGCACTCGGCATCATGAGATATTGATGGTAATTTTCAAATCTAGCAAAATAGAATGTACTGTTAGTGACTAAACATTTAATCATGTATTATTGAAAACAATATTTACAAGAAAAAATGAAAGCAATAAAAAACATAAGATTTAGAATTATTTGCTTTGAATGCGATTTGCTTCTATTTACTAATTTAGGGCTTCATTATGGCACAAAGGAATATTATGATCTGGTTTTCTTTTATTATTATTTTTTAATTCATCAGTACTTTAACGCGAAAGTCGATCTGTAGTGGAGGAAAAAACGAAGATATTATGATACACAAATGATAATATGCATTTTTTTTGGGAACTATCTCAAGCAATAGGAGTCTTACCAGCAACATCTTTTGGCGTCATCAGCTTGGAAGTTAAAGCAATTTTTTTGCTTACATGGCTGCCCAATCCTAAATCTTGACTCTTTTCTATCTATACAAACCCTATCAAGAGTTAATAAAATTTCAGTCTTTTCCAACACTAAATTACTCGAATTAGGGGTAAGAATTCATGTTTATTTTAGTGTAATATATAAATAATTATACAATGCGATGCAAGAAAAATTCAAAGATTCGTTGATTCTCCAAATACCCAAAAAGGGGGTTAATGATTAGTGATTCGCAACTGAATACAGAAGAATCAATGCAGTATTCTGACATTACATGCGTCGAAATCTTGAACTCAAAAGAAAGTTTGGGTATTAAATTTTGGATTATAAATGTTCATTTCAATTGGAAGTTAATGGTTTGGAAGATAATGTCATGAACAATAATGAAAGCGTTTACCCCCACATTAAAATAAAAAAATTAATTTCCAAGAACAATAAAAATTCTTGCATAAATTCAAAAAAGACATTGTCATTTTATTCAAAAAGAAGACTAAAAAGGAAGCAGATATTCCGTACTTTTCTCATCCTTTTGTTATTTTTCTCTCCACAAAGCATTTCAAATATTCATTTTCAGTTGTTGAGAAACATGATATACTTGATAAGTTCGACTACACAACAAAGAACATGTTAATAGAGTCTTCTTTATTACATTATTCAAATCTCATTACTTTTCTAGTTCTTTTGCCACTATTCCATCCATAAAGCACTTCAAAATCTTCTTTTTCAGTTATCAACGAATATGACATGCTCGATAGAAGCTCAATTGAACAACGTTAAATTACAAAATAATCTTAAATCTTATTTATTTCACATATTATACAATCATATCTAATATTATGGACCCAAAAACTTTGGTTTTGACTGCAAGAAAGCACGCCAAAAGGAATCTAACCACATAGCTAATGCTTGAATCACCGACCTTTTTTTCCCAATATCACATAAAAGTTAACTTTTTTTTACGTTGAACACACACCCCATATAACCCCATCCCCATGTTAAAAGTTTGTTTTTGTGTGTGAACTATACCAATTATAAGAATTCTTGCTTGTATAGACAAGTTTAATATCCATTAATTGCTTCTCCATACCTCTCAATCCAAAATTCTCGATTGTTATTTCCCGTAAGGAATACATCACTTCCATCCCTTCGTGATTTCATTGATTTCTCTCTTCTATTTAAAGGTGTTTTGTATTTTACAAATTCTCATCTTGTGACAACTTTCATCACTACAAAATGAAGAAAATTTTCATACTTTTCCTCTCTTTGGCTTTAGTTTTCACTCTCGGAATATGCTTCGATTTTCACGAGAAAGAACTCGAGACGGAGGAGAGGCTTTTGGATTTGTACGAGAGGTGGCGGAGCTACCACACCGTTTCAACGAATTTAGATGAAAAGCATAGACGTTTCAATGTGTTCAAGGCCAATGCTCGTTATGTTCATAATTTCAACAAGCAAGATAAGCCTTATAAGTTGAAACTCAACAAGTTTGCAGACATGACTAGCCATGAATTCAGAAGTGTTTATGCTGGATCTAAGATTAAGCATCATCGAATGCTCCGAGGTTCACAAGGAAATGGAACTTTCATGTACGCGAATGTAGAGAGTGTTCCACCTTCTGTTGATTGGAGGAAGAAAGGCGCTGTCACTGATATCAAGGATCAAGGCCAATGTGGTAAGCTTATCACACGAGTGTATTTTCAACGAATTAAACTATATATTTTACTTGACCGTGAGACCAAGTGTAAGGTGGGTTGGGTCAGACGGACCCCCTTTCGGTCACAACTCATATTTTGAAAACTAATAAACAACGAGTTTTTCCTCTTGGACGATCCCCCGTCCAAACAGCGTCGCACCCTTTTTGGGCGGGATTGTCCAAGTAGCACACCCCAAAAACGACCCACTTGAGATGTAGACTTCTAAAACTAGGCATACTGGTACAAATTAGGTCAAGTCATCGAAGTCTTAAGGCACCTGACGCGCTTGTTTTGACAATGTGGCCGGTCCAATCTGGCTCGTTTTACACCTCTAACTAGATCTAAATTTTTTGTTGTTGATTTTAAAGGTAGTTGCTGGGCATTTTCAACAGTGGTGGCAGTTGAAGGAATAAACCAGATTAGGACAAACAACCTAGTTTCGTTGTCTGAACAAGAACTTGTTGATTGTGACAATACTGAAAATCAAGGTTGTAATGGAGGGCTTATGGATTCAGCATTTGACTTCATCAAGAAAAATGGAGGCATTACAACTGAGAAAAACTATCCTTACACGGCTAAAGATGGAAGGTGCAATTATAAAAAGGTAATTAAACTATCTCGCACAAATGTTTCATATATAGTACTGGATATAATTCGACAGTATAATGAATAAAATTTTAATTTTTCAGGAAAATTCTGCGGCCGTGACAATTGATGGGCATGAAGATGTGCCTGCGAACGATGAAGATGCACTATTGAAAGCTGTAGCGAATCAACCCGTATCAGTTGCCATTGACGCCGGAGGTTCTGATTTCCAGTTCTACTCCGAGGTAAACCACTCGATTGATTCAAGTATAACCTCTTATTGATTTGACTTTGGTTTGACCGACCGATCAACTTGTGCAACAGGGGGTGTTTGAAGGCGACTGTGGGACAGAGCTGGATCACGGGGTGGCGATTGTGGGATATGGAACAACACTTGATGGAACAAAATATTGGATTGTGAAGAATTCATGGGGTCCTGAATGGGGAGAAAAGGGTTACATTAGAATGGAACGTGGCGTGAAAGCTAAAGAAGGACTGTGTGGTATAGCAATAGAACCATCTTATCCAATTAAATATTCCAAAAATAATCACATTCGACATGAAAAATCCACCCCCAAAGATGAACTCTGATAGACCACATTCAATTTGGAATTGGGATTTGGTACTATTAAATTCCAATTCTCGATTTGAGTTAGATATTCGTAATAATATGATAGTGTGAAATAATATTGTTGATTCTTCAGTAATTTTGTCAAATTCTTGATATTAATATTTTAGAATAGCAAGCTCAAAATTCTTAGTATTCTCTATGTGAATTTATGAGCATTTGCTTAGAAGATGATCGTGGGTCCAATCTGGCTCGTTTTACACCTCTAACTAGATCTAAATTTTTTGTTGTTGATTTTAAAGGTAGTTGCTGGGCATTTTCAACAGTGGTGGCAGTTGAAGGAATAAACCAGATTAGGACAAACAACCTAGTTTCGTTGTCTGAACAAGAACTTGTTGATTGTGACAATACTGAAAATCAAGGTTGTAATGGAGGGCTTATGGATTCAGCATTTGACTTCATCAAGAAAAATGGAGGCATTACAACTGAGAAAAACTATCCTTACACGGCTAAAGATGGAAGGTGCAATTATAAAAAGGTAATTAAACTATCTCGCACAAATGTTTCATATATAGTACTGGATATAATTCGACAGTATAATGAATAAAATTTTAATTTTTCAGGAAAATTCTGCGGCCGTGACAATTGATGGGCATGAAGATGTGCCTGCGAACGATGAAGATGCACTATTGAAAGCTGTAGCGAATCAACCCGTATCAGTTGCCATTGACGCCGGAGGTTCTGATTTCCAGTTCTACTCCGAGGTAAACCACTCGATTGATTCAAGTATAACCTCTTATTGATTTGACTTTGGTTTGACCGACCGATCAACTTGTGCAACAGGGGGTGTTTGAAGGCGACTGTGGGACAGAGCTGGATCACGGGGTGGCGATTGTGGGATATGGAACAACACTTGATGGAACAAAATATTGGATTGTGAAGAATTCATGGGGTCCTGAATGGGGAGAAAAGGGTTATATTAGAATGGGACGTGGAGTGAAAGCTAAGGAAGGACTATGTGGTATAGCAATAGAACCCTCTTATCCAATTAAATCTTCCAAAAATAATCACATTCAACATGAAAAATCCACCCGCAAAGATGAACTCTGATAGACCACATTCAATTTGGAATTGGGATTTGGTACTATTAAATTCCAATTCTCGATTTGAGTTAGATATTCGTAATAATATGATAGTGTGAAATAATATTGTTGATTCTTCAGTAATTTTGTCAAATTCTTGATATTAATATTTTAGAGTAGCAAGCTCAAAATTCTTAGTATTCTCTATGTGAATTTATGGGCATTTGCTTTGAAGATGATCATGTTGACGGGTTTGTTTGAAATCAACTAAGATGTGTTTATTGTCCAAATTCTCTAGCTTTCACGATTTCAAATATGTTTTATAAGAAGTTTTTTAGGAAGTTATTAGATGCCGGTACGTTAATCACATCAACAAAGCATAGAGACAGATGAAATAGTAGCCAATAGGAAGATAATTTGTATTAGAAAGCTTAACAAAGTAATTGTCAATAATCATTTGGTCGTCATCTTAATGTTGCTACATTAACATAACAGCTAGATCTTAAACATTATCTTGACTTTTATCAACGACATAACAATGACATGAAGTCGAGGATAGGATTCACGAAAATCGACGAATCTAATCTTTTTAATCCAACATCACGTGAGTGTCGTATAACCATTTAACTCTCAATTAAACATTTTCCATTAGCTAAGGACACAAGTGACAATGTTAAAATTATTGGAGACACGAGTGCAACAAATGGTAAGTTGAATACATAAATGTCAGACGACTCCCGTGGTGAGTTTTACCCTTTCAAAAATTTCAGTACTCTAATCTGACAACGCTCGTAGAACTAGTCTTTTGACCTAGTTTTGTAGAATTTTTTAGGATCTTCCTTCAAGAAAGGAACCATTATTTGACTATTTATTCTCAAAGAAAAGAAAGCCAATTGGAGAAGCAAAATAAATAACTTAAATAAAATAAGTGAGAAAAAGTAAATTGACAAGCAACCGCAACTCTATTTTGATCTGTTGTGGTCAATCCTATTTTATTGCTGACCCCTCCCATAATAAAAAAAGGGGCTACAGCGGTACAAAAGAAGCAAGAATGACTAAAACAGAAAATTAAGAGTAAAATTAACATTTCAGTCTAAGGAAACGTGTATCTACTAGTGGTTTGATTCGGTCGATCTAACTTCTAGAGTTCAAAGCCTCCCATTCTGGAATAGTTCATAGTCAATCTTGGCTCCTCTTCTCTTTTCCTCTCGACAAGAGACAAGGAAGATACGGCCTTGGCAAAGATGACCTTTCTCACAAGTAATCTCCACTTTGTGCTGTCTCGTTTTCTTTCTTGTTGGACCTTCAATTTGAATTGTCTGCAACATAACAAACCAATCCCACGTAAGGTTTTAGAAGAACTACTATATTAAAATATCTCACCAAAAAACAAGAACGATATAGTACCAAATATTTGATACAATTTAGTTGTCATTCGACTCAATTAGGACGAATGAGCCCCTAGAACAATAATCTAGGCCTATTTTAACATCTACCTAAAATTCAGACGGGTTAACAAGTCCTTTTCTATGCATTGAGCTTCATCAAGATCCAATGTATCACGAACAATGGTACTTCAACCACTTTTTCACATTCAAAGAATCACAAAATATCTAACAAAGCTATTGAAAACAGCTATCAGGGAGTGACAAAAACCCAAGGGAGATGAACAAATTTGCGGCCCTACTTACAGCTAACTTGGTGTCCTTTAGAGAAGAGAAACCAATGAATGCTAATAATATCTCACCAGAAAAGGACCAAATCAGTTCTATTAATCGCCCGGGGAAACATTTTGGAGTCACCTAAGATGATAAGAGGCCGGGACCTACTTTCCGACCAAATGAGATATGGACATCTTATTTTTCCTTCCTTCCATTATACTAATAAATGAAACGAATCACCTATTCTTAATTTGTGCTACCTAAGACACATTGTAAAAGAATATTCTACTAATAACAAAATTAAAACACGAATATTAGGAAGTGTTTCTTATACCTGCACATAGGGACTCTACATTCATCCGCTCGGTCACAAATCGAAGAGTGCAATCGAAGGAGCTGCCACATTCGTTTACAACGCAAACACCCTCCGTTAACCCTCTTCTTACAAGTAGCAAAATGCTTAATCGCGAGTTGAACTCCATGACAGGTCGAGAACTTGCTACACGGACCCTTGTTCTTACTCGTATCCATGTCATATGGCCCGACACTCATGCACCCTTCAGTACATATATGCTCGAGACAATCCATCGCTTCACTCAATTGTAAATACAAACTTTGCTCCTCTCTGTGCCTCCTCGACCTCTTTTTCCTCTATCAAAAGCAAATTCATATGATAATCAGCATTACATAACCAAAACACAATATGAACAAATGAAGGGACGTGTCGAGGACTATACCGATTCGGCTTCATCCATGAATTGTAAAATTTCGAGTTCGAGCAATGGATCGTGATTTTGCAAAAACTTCCATCCTTCAGTCTCCTCAACAGCATTGAAATTATTCGACAACACTTTCAAGCACTTGAGGTGAAGATCAGGTGCGTCGCAGAGTCGAGCAAGCTGGAGTATATCGACAACATTTTCGATAGTCAACCGCTCGGCTAAACCCCTTTTACATTTCTGCTTTAGTTGTGGTACAAAATATACATGTGACAATGCCAGCAAGTGAATTTCATACTTCTTCATGTGCTCCTCATTACACCTGATGAAAAATAAACACGCGAATAATTTATTAAATTCCTATGTTCTTGGAAGCATCATAATTCGCCGCGAAACACAAAAATAAAATAATAAAAATATAAAAATTTATTGAGAATCGGTGTGGAATGTGCGACGTGTATGGTTATTAACATCGGTGCTTAAGCTAAGCACGATTAAAGTAAATAAACTTAGACAAATTAAAAATGGTAGAAAGAATAATTGGCGTGGAGGATGGGAAACTGACTTGGAGGAATAAAGAAACTGCACGAACAGGGTAACGGCGTCGTATGGAACACCAAGAATAGGAATTTTCCGATCAGAGCTCCAGCGCTTTTGCGGCCGTGCTATTAATCTCTCCATCACCGGCGATGCCGAAGCCTGTAAAAAATTTCCCCAATCCCCAAATAAAAAACCCAGTTGAGATTTTCGAACAGTAGATTGAATTTTGTGGGTTTAAGAAAGGAAAAAATACCAGGATTCTAGAGTGCGCCGGGATACTCCTGCCACCGGAGGTGATGATTTGAACGTCGGGCTCCGGCAATTCTTCGGCAACCATAGGTCCGTTGCGGGCGACAGGAGAATTTTCTAGAAATTGATTCTGCAATTGAACCATGATTTTGGGACTTCGCAAATGTAACTTTTTCCTAATAAATGTGAATAATCTGTAACAAATATGAATACTGCGGTCTCAGGTTGTTTATCGTAGTACAAGAAATGTGGCTGCGTATTTATAGACAAAGGCGAAAGTTAATTTGCCTACAAGATTTGTGGGTCCCAACCATGACCCTACATGGAAGTTTCTTACAATGTCTCCAATTAGCATGAAAGGCCATGTAATACAATAATTCTTCTCAAAGGCCATGTAATATGCAAAATCTGAGTGTTGTGACGTGTGGGGTGACTTATGGTCCGTCCACGACTAAGGTGTTGAGTACATGTATGCTTGAAATAATTGTTCGATCTTCATCTCGAGTTATGAGACCGAGTAAAAATGTACTAAAAGGAGTGAGTGATAGAGCAAAATAAATAAATTGAAAGTAACCAAATGGAGCCAAGCATAAAGAGCTTCGACCACTATTAATAGTTCACAACTAGGAGACTCCGGAGATGTGTGGTGGAACCTAGAACTCAGGTGAAAGGGACAAAAAAAAAACAAAAATGAAAACTTCTACTCAAATCATTTACTGTAAAAATTTTAAGTACATGTCTGATTTTATGAGTGTCAAAATGAGTAGTTCTAAGCTAGATCGGCCCTTCTACAATCAAGGTCGATTCAAAGCCATTTGAACCAATTCATCTAAAAATATATCTAGGGTACGCTGCACGATCCTTTGGACCCACCTACTAGGTCGGCACTCATGAGTCGTCAAGATAGATAATCAAATTCAGCACTATTCATTTATCTGGCGGGCCAACCCGTGGACCAAATTAGATCAAGCCAGTTTCACTCTGATTTTTTAACAAGGTAAATTATTTTAGTATTAGACGATTCTACCCATTTTCATACTACTATTTGATTTTGCCTTGGTATTTCTGACATGGCTATTTATATTTGCGAAATTGCCGACAATGATTTATGGATAACCCCTTATGCAACAAGAGTCATTTTGAGGTCATAAAACACATTAACGAGTCAAATCTTGACCCAGTTTGATCAACCATTTCCTATGTGTCATCCTAATTCGCCAACTTGTCTCAATTTAAATATTAAAAAAAGAGAGAGTTAAAGGTAGTGCAATCCTATAATGCCACGTGGAAAAGGCAGAAAAAAAATATTATGGGTCAGATTTTCTTGGTCAAGTTGGTTTATAAAATGTAGGATATTGTTGTATGGGGCTTGTGGGAAATCACTTGTCATTGTGTAATAGAATGAGCCCCAACCCGAAAAGGTCACCAACATTGGATGTTTGTCACTTTGTTGATTGAATAAAACCACTTGTACACTCTTTTTGTACATTATTGTGCACATCATTCGAGTTGACAACGTGTGATTGATGAAAAGTTTGTTTTATTTTAAATTGTCAAAACGGAACTTGACAGGTGGCAGAGTGTCCACAAAACTGTACAATATTATGTATATGAAGCATTGTTGTTGTTCATTTGGGTGAAAATGTTTTTTTGGTTCTTGTTCACGAATACCCAACTTTTATAGTACAATATTTTATTTAACTTCGGCTATTTACTCATTTAATATTTAATTACGATTAGCATAAAATCCTTATTTTGACATTAAATTTATTTAAATCATCATCAAATATGTATATATGAGTTATTATAATTATCATTCTGTTAAGTTGTAACATGTTATAAACATATGAGAAAAGTGTTATCTACATTTTAATGTATGAATGGTACTCAATTTCAATTTAAATTACACTAAACTCCAATATTTCATCGTCCAACTAATGGGATGCATTTCAAATCATTAGACAATGAAGCGATGAGGTTGATGCTACCTAGGCTTAGCATTCTTTTAAGTTAAATTGGACAAGTCGAGAAGAACAATGAACAAATTTCATCACACATGTATCCTTTTCAATTTTATCCAAAATTTTATCCAATCCAAGGTGCGTAGCCCGAGAAAGGGAGATAAGTAATTTAGTACGCATGGGCTAGTTTGGCAGCATTAGAAATGGAACAAAAATCACTTCTTTCTGGCACAAAATTTATGGCAAAAAATGGGACATTCACATAACCACAAAGAAGTAGTATTAGGTTAGTTGGGTATTTGTCTAATCCATGTTACCAAATATATCATTACTAGTTACGGCCTAAAGAAGGTGAAGAATGATAGGTCACAAACATTTCACGTTTTTGTGTTCCTTAATGTTGTCTAATGACAATTTCTAAAAGTTAGTAGAGAAAGAAATTAATTCGAAAAGGACTGTCAAGAGGAGCGAACCTACATCAAGTAAATTGACTCACTTTTATGTGTCATAATCTCGTAAGTAAAGGTCTATCAAACTAGTCTCAAAAGTTTAGCAAAAGTATTTTATCAATTTGCAAAAGAAAAGTATTTTGATGTTGTAAATTCTTATTTCATTCGTTGTTGACCCTCCTATAAATAAAACAGGGATCACCAAAGTGCATAAGAAACAAAGAATGACTACAGCAGCAAATTTACAAGCGGAGGACAGAAGAAATGTGTCGACTCAAGGTTCAGTTAGCTTCGACCTAACTTCTCCAGTTCGAAGCTTCTCATACTGTATTATCTGGCTGACGTGATTTGCAGACTATTGCATCAGCCCGAGGGTTTACCCAGTGTACAACCGAAGGGTAGCAGCTGCGGGTTTCTCCGTTATCAAAAAAAAAACAAAACAAAACAAAACGAAAAAAACAAAAAAAGCTTCTCATATTGTAATAGTTCGTATACACTCTTGGCTACCTAGGCTGAGATGATATTTTCTCGCAAGTAATCTCAACTTCGTGTCTCCTCTTTTTGTATCTTGTTGGACCTTTAGTTTCAATTTTCTGCAACATAACATACCAATCCCATTTAAGGTTATTATTCAAAAATATCTAGCTGAAGAACAAGAACATCATAGTATTTGATACAATTTAGTTGTCAGTAAATCATTTAGGATGAATGAGTGAACTTGAACAATGAACTTAAGCCCTTTAATTTCAAAAGAACAACAAAAATTGAGACTGGGTTTCACTAATTATATGATTATTGTTATATGGGCTTCCAACCCATAAGGAATACTTGGTCCAAATCCACCAAAATGTCTTGTAGGTCACATTACGGCTACACCACTGCAATATATAAAAGAGGAGAGTTGGTTACTATTCATAATGCATCATCCTTACCTTATGCTGATGTCATATGTATGCATATGAATTAGTATTATAATTTTGTTTCCCTACAAAAAGAGAAAATTTGCTTGCCGCTATTCATAAGCACCATATGTTATGTCATATATATCATATTTTTTAACCATTTCTTTTTATTCTATTTCTCTTTCTCTATATTTTCAGGCTAACTCCCATGCTCCTTTCCTCCATTCTCCACGCTTCCGTCTTTTCCTTTCTTCTCTTCATTTCTTGATCTTGACATTTCTTTCTCTTTGACTTTTCCTTTTTCATTTTCTCTCTCTGCGGTCAACCAAAACCCTCGGTGAAAATTCATTTGAAACTACCTTTTTCGCTTCTTTTTGTGAAAATCGTGCTGCAACTTCATTTTTTGCTTCTCTAATGGGTAATTTCTCTGTCTAAATGAGTAATTTCACTTTCATTATAACAGAGGGTATGGACTCCATCTAATTTCTTGGCATTAATGCCGTGTCATGATGATATTGCAGTTCCTTGATTTAGCAAATATGGTTCAAGTGTCCGGCCTTGAAAGCTTCTGTCCCATGATGGTTGTGACAACGTATTTCTTCTTTGGTTCTGTAGCATACATCCTTGTGAGTTTTAGATTTTTTATATATTCTTTTCATTCCTTCCCGATAGTGTGATAATTGAGTGATTCAAGTTCTCTCTGGATAATTTTATATCACAAGGTTTTTATTGATCTGTAATGGAAATGGAAAGTGTAATGGAGTTGACAATGGATCAAACACCCAGGAAGAGATCAGGTTTGGTTTGGGATGTTTTGCCTCTAGAACCTCCCAAGATATTTTCAAATATGATGTTTTGTTGCCCCTCGGGGCACATCCCAATTGGCAAAGGACGGAACTCTTCAAGTCGGGCAGTTCACAGGTCGCGGGTTCAATTCATGAGGCTCTTGGAAGGCAAGGCTTTCTCCTAGAAGGCAGGAGTTCCTTGGAAGGCAAGGTGCATACATGGATTTGACTCGTTCGGCACTTTGGCAGTTCAGTTGGGGGGCTCTTAGACCCTGGCCAGTTTGGGGCACAACCCGCGGTTTACCTGGTCTGCGTGAAGAGGGGCTGGATCGCAGACCCCAGGATTAATCGCTGTAAGGTGGACACCTGGGAATCAAAAAAAGTGATGTTTTGTTTAAAAAAATCATTTTTTTCGGGTTTTTGTCGATTTGGTGAAAAAATTGAACTTTTCTAGTTTGAAATAATTTCTTATTCTAGTGTATTTAATTCGTATTTTAAAGGGTTTAAAGGATTTTTTGAATTTGATGAACTTTCTTATGGTTCTGAATTGATCTGATTGTGAATCTATGTCTACATATTTAGTACTTGTTTGGAACAAATTTTAATTAAAACCAAATTTTTTATTATTATTTCACTATTCTAATCGTCATTTTTTGAATTCTTCTTTCACAAGGATCCAATTTTATCTCTAATGGTCAAAAAATCAATTAACCAACTCTCTACTAAACAAGCACTTAGCTTTAATAGAAAATAATTAGTTTGAGAAAATTCTTTGATAAATAAATCATTTATAAATTTGTCAAATTCAAGCTAATGATATATGTTAATACTTCTTTGTTTTAGTACAAATTACGAATTTTCGGAAGAAAACATTAGTTTCTTGGTAAAGAAATTTACATCGGAAGTTATTTTTGGCTTCTTGATGTTTGAATTCATGTATTAGTATTAGTTCGATGAATGGTTCATATATTTATATATATTGCCTTTCTCCTAATTTGGATGTCATAATTTGCCCTTTTCTGCTTAACGAATTGTATTCCTTAGCTAAATTATAGTTTTACTTAATTGGTAAATTTGAATCGTACTATATGGTTCAATTCAAAGCTAAAATGATTAGCGGAAAAACAAGTTAGGAATTTTGAAATGAAGGAGTTGATTTTTGTGATATCTTTCAATTGTTTGGATTTATTAATTATAGAATTTTTACTTTTTGAAATTTACTATGAAAAAAACCTTAATCCAATGGACAAAGCTCCATTGTTTAGATGTTACTATTAGTCTTCTTTTCAATTCATTTCTACATAAACCTCCATGATTGTGTTCTGAGTGGACATTTATGTGAGACATCTGTAGGATGATAATGAGCACTTAGCTTCTGCTTCTTCTTCTTCTTCCAAAGCCATGTATGTGCTTTCCATTTTTACATATCATGAATTATAACATGTCATTGTACTAAAGTGTTTTTTTGCTTAACAGGAAACTGAATGATAAACTGCTTGTTGAGAATATTCTACCATTACTTGGGAAGCACACAAATCTATTTGACTAGTATGTTGTTGGATATTGGTTAAATAAATCGAGAATTGAAAATCGATTAAAGTGACTTCGTATCGACTTCGGCTAAACACTCAAAAGCTCGACTCAATCCGTTTAGGCAAAATTGTTTGCCAGGCCAAATACTCAAAAGCTCGACTCAATCCGTTTAGGCAAAATTGTTTGCCACTTCGCCGCTTCGGGGCTCACAAACGGGGATCGACTTGTCCGGTCAAGTCGCGGGGGGTCGAGGGGGCAACGCCCCCGAAAGAGAATTTTGATTTCTTTGCATGTATTGAAGGGTATATTTGGCATTTCGAAAAACCAATATCGAATGAATGAGAAATTACGAAAAATGACGAAAATCAGTGAATAGACACATTTTCATAAAGGTGCATTGTTTGGAAAGGGTGTATGGTTTGGTCTCAACCATTAGTGAATAGACACATTTTCATAAAGGTGCATTGTTTGGAAAGGGTGCATGGTTTGGCCTCAACCATTTCGTCCACACCCTTTCATGGTCTATAAATAGGACCCTTTGGGTGTCCTATTCCTCACAATTTGATATGCAAAACATCTCTCATCCTCTCTTCTATCCAAAATCAAAATCATTTCGTTTATTTTGATTTTCCTTCATTTCATCCTTGGAGTACATAAGCCTAAATTTGGTTCGTTGTACTTGTGTTTTGGAGTGCTACAAACACAAGTGTAGCCGTTGTATCTTGGGAGTCGATTGCCGAAATCCGTAGGCACCGTTGCGGGGCAAATTCGACCTAAGGACAAAGAGTCCAACTCTTGCCTCGACTTTGTCCCTACTTTCTTCTTCTTCTTGTTTGTGTTTTCTTTGCCGTTACTCTGTCCAATTTTCGGCACGGATTCACAAACCATCATTATATTTTTTTTTTGGCGTCACTATTCACAAAATTCTTCCAACAATCTTAAGTCGAAGTTATATATATTTTGTGAAAGTGACATTCTTGTTTGGTTAAACTTGTTAAGTTTAACTTCTTCTTCACTTCTATTTTTGGTTGATCTTCTGTTTTACATAAACAGAAATGAATACGGTTCTTAATACCGATACTACTTCAAATGAAATTTCGAACATGGGAACTTCTGAAGGAAGTGTTCCTACCGGAGTGATTTCTCCCGTTGTGAATACAACTACTACTAATGTTGTGGGTGTCCCTACTATCGTACATTCAAACTCCGTTTCACATGGGGAAAAGCCGGATAAATTTGTTGGGGTTCATTTCAAAAGGTGGCAACAGAAAATGTTGTTTTATCTCACAACCCTCAACTTGGCGAAATTCTTGAATGAAGATCCTCCCGCCATACAAGAAGGGGAAAACAATAGGGCATCTTTATTGCTTTAGATGCATGGAAACATTCGGACTTCTTATGCAAGAATTACATTCTTAATGGCTTGGACAACGCCTTATACGGTGTATATTGCTACAAGAAATCTGCAAAGGAACTATGGGAGTCCTTGGAAAAGAAGTACAAGACCGAAGATGCCGGAACCAAGAAGTTCATTGTGGGAAAATTCTTGGACTACAAAATGGTAGATTCGAAGACCGTCATCAGTCAAGTGCAAGAATTGCAAGTCATACTCCATGACATTCATGCGGAAAATATGTCCGTGAGCGAATCATTTCAAGTGGCTGCAATTATCGAGAAACTTCCACCCATGTGGAGGGACTTCAAAAACTATCTCAAGCACAAGCGCAAGGAGATGAACATTGAAGAACTTGTGGTCCGATTGAGGATTGAAGAAGACAACCGAAGTTCGGAAAAACGAGTTGGGAATGGCATACCACAAGCAAAGGCAAATGTGGTAGAATCTAGCAACAACAAAGGAAAGAAGAGAAAGCATTCCGTTGAATCTACAAAGAAGAATGCAAAGAAGTTCAAGGGCAATTGCTACAATTGTGGAAAGGCTGGACATCGCTCGGTTGATTGTCGCAAACCTAAGAAGCAAGCCCAAGCGAAATATCACCAAATCTGATGCCATGTCTAATTATATATTAGATATAAACCTGTCAATCGTTATTTCAAAATACAACAATGTTGAAAATCCCATAGATTGGTGGGTATTTACCGAGTGCTATCCGTCATATATGTGCCGATAAAGGAATGTTCTCTTCCTACAATCCAACCCAGAGCAAAAAGTTCATGGAAAATTCTTTGAAGTTCAAAAAAAGCAAAGTAATTTTGAAGATGACATCGGGCAAGAAGTTTAGCCTCAACAATGTTCTTCATGTGATGGATATTCGCAAGAACTTAGTGTCAAGCAAGAACAACTTTATATCAGTCATTGTATTTGATAAGTTTATACATACCAAAAATAATATATATGTAAGCAAAAGCTATGTGAAGGATGGACTATTCAAAATGAATGTCCTAACTGTTGTGTCAAATGCTACAATCAATAAAACGTCATCTTCAGTTTATATTCTTGAGTCATGTAATCTATGGCATCATAGATTAGGACATGCAAACTTTAATTCAATACGAAAGTTAATAAATTTAAGTTTACTTCCGAATATGCATTTTAATAATGGAAAATGCGAAACATGTGTAGAGGCAAAAGCGGCCAAAACACCATTTCATTCGGTTGAACGAAACACCACACCATTAGAACTAATTCACACGGATGTGTGTGATTTGAAGTTCGTACAAACAAGGGGTGGTAAAAAGTACTTCATCACATTCATAGATGATTGTACAAGGTACTGTTATGTGTACTTGTTGAAAAGCAAAGATGAAGCTTTGGAAGTGTTTAAACACTACAAAAATGAAGTTGAAAATCAACTTGAAAAACGAATTAAAATGATTCGTAGTGATAGAGGTGGAGAATATGTTGCACCGTTTGAAGAATTTTGTGCAGAATCTGGAATAATTCATCAAACAACGGCACCATATTCACCACAATCTAATGGAATTGCTGAACGCAAAAATCGAACGTTAAAGGAAATGATGAATGCAATGTTGATTAGTTCGGGCTTACCTCAAAACTTGTGGGGGGAAGCCATACTTTCTGCAAATCATATCCTTAATTTAGCCTCAATAATGTCCTTCACGTACCGGATATTCGCAAGAACCTTGTGTCGGGTTCTTTGTTAAGCAAGAATGGCTTTAAACTAGTCTTTGTATCGGATAAGTTTGTACTTACCAAAAATGATATATATGTAGGCAAAGGCTATGTAAAAGATGGACTATTCAAAATGAATGTCCTAACTGTTGTGCCAAATGCTACAATCAATAAAACGTCATCTTCAGTTTATATTCTTGAGTCATGTAATCTATGGCATCATAGATTAGGACATGCAAACTTTAATTCAATACGAAAGTTAATGAATTTAAGTTTACTTCCGAATATGCATTTTAATAATGGAAAATGCGAAACATGTGTAGAGGCAAAAGCGGCCAAAACACCATTTCATTCGGTTGAACGAAACACCACACCATTAGAACTAATTCACACGGATGTGTGTGATTTGAAGTTCGTACAAACAAGGGGTGGTAAAAAGTACTTCATCACATTCATAGATGATTGTACAAGGTACTGTTATGTGTACTTGTTGAAAAGCAAAGATGAAGCTTTGGAAGTGTTTAAACACTACAAAAATGAAGTTGAAAATCAACTTGGAAAACGAATTAAAATGATTCGTAGTGATAGAGGTGGAGAATATGTTGCACCGTTTGAAGAATTTTGTGCAGAATCTGGAATAATTCATCAAACAACGGCACCATATTCACCACAATCTAATGGAATTGCTAAACGCAAAAATCGAACATTAAAAGGAAATGATGAATGCAATGTTGATTAGTTCGGGCTTACCTCAAAATTTGTGGGGGAAAGCCATACTTTCTGCAAATCATATCCTTAATAAAATACCACACAAAGATAAGGTTGAATCACCTTACGAATTATGGAAAGGTCGGAAACCTTCCTACAAATATCTCAAAGTGTGGGGGTGCTTAGCGAAAGTACAA